AGAGCATGTGAGGGTGACAGTGACTGCAGCACGATGGCAGCAGTCAGTAATGGTAAGACGGTCAGGCTCTAGTTACATTCTCAAAGCTCAGCTGGGTCCACACTGTGGACATGTTACATGCAGATGCTTGCACCTGGATCTGAGGTCTTGAATTCTGAGCCATGGTTCAGGCTGAACACAAGTGTGGCATTATGGTTGGCACACAGGTGACATTTAAAGCTGTGATTCTGTGAGATTAGTAAAAATGAACATGAGGGGAAGGACAGAGAAAGTGAGAAGAAGGGAACGAGAAGGAAAGGGAGACATAAAGAGAGGAAGAAGGTGGGCAGAGGAGGAAAAGGGGGAAACAGGCAAGGGGAAGATGGGGAAGGAGAAACAAGGGACAGAAGGGGGAAGGTGAGGGACAGGGAAGACAGAGAGGACTCAGTTCTCAGCTGGCACAGTCAAGTGAACAGCAATGTCAACTCAAAGAAGAAAAGAATTGGGAACTGAGATTTGGCCCAGGACTTATTCCACTGAGATGTCTATCCAACACCTTAGTGGGCTAAGGAGTTAGATACAGGAGTCTGGCATTCAGGAGAGTGGTCTAGGCTGAGCATGTAGTGCACTGTCACAGAGTGGTATATGGATGACACTGGAAACTGCTTATGACATTGCCAAGCAAGTGAGGAGACAGAGAAGCTACAGGGCACCCAATGCTAACAATCAGTCATAAGGGGGAACAAATGAAGTAGACTGAGTAGAGCCCTGTACTGGAAGACGAATTCCAAGAGAGTGATGAGCCGGAAGGAAAGGAGAGCTGTTCTAGATGCACAGACAGTGCATCCTGAGGGGCTGTCTGCAGACTGATGGCCTAGCATGCAAGAACTCCTGGGTTCATCTCCAGCACTGTATAAACTAGAGTGCTAGTACAGGCCTAGAGTCCTAGCTTCAGGAGGTGAAGGCAGGAACATCAGAAGGCCAAGGTCACCTTCAGCTATGCAGTGAGTTCAAGACCAGCCTGGGTTACATGAGACCCTACCTGGAAAGAGAAAAAAAAGTGGCACCCTGAAATTAAACTGGACCTCTGGAGTCGAAACTTGTTTCTAGTGATCACAGGAGAGCCAGGAATGAATGTCAAATCACTATAGTTGAGTTCCCTAAACAGAGCAGTAGATAAGCGCTGCTTCTACTGTTAGGGCAGCCAAATTAAAATCACAAGTAAAAGCCAAGCAAGATGTACTGTTTGTTTTACCAGCAGTCAGGGGGCTGAGCAGGATGATCACCGTGAGTACAAGGACAGTCTAGGTTACACAGCCAAATCCTGTCTTAAAAAACCAAACCAAACCTAACAGAACAAAAGTGAAAGAGAAGATTCTAATGAATAAAGCCCTATGACAAAAGGAGCAAGAGTTTGAGGCCAGCCTGGGCTACATAGCAACTTGTAGTAAAGAACTGGAACTATAGAATCCATTCTAACCAACACACTCCTAAAAAGGTTACAGAAAACAAGCTGACAAAACCCTTAAGACTCTAATATGCCTTAATTTGTAGAGAAACAATGGACAACATGTAAGACATCTATACTTTTAAAAACAAAAACAAAAAAACCCCCCAAGACATTGGAGGGATGGCTCAGTAGCTAAGAGTGCTGGCTGCTCTTGCAGAGGATGTGATGCCCTCTTCTGGCCTCCACGGGCATTACATGCACAGGTGCACTTACATCCATGCAGGCAAAAATATTCACACACATTTAAAAAATTTTTTTTAAAAGTAAAAACCTCAAAAGCACTATAGAAAACAAACACATGAACAGAAATCTCCCTAAGGTACCTCACCATGCTAAAAACAACGATTAATAAGAGATCAAATGTGATGATAAAACACACAATGAAATGGAAAATGAGACTGCAAAGCTAGAGAAACATACCAAGAGTGGACTTAATAAGATATAAGTAAAGTGAAAAATAAAGGAGCCAGGCATGGTGCATACACTTGAAATCTTAGCACTCAGAAGGCTGAGACAGGAGGATTGACATGACTTTGACGTCAGCCTGGGCTTCATAGCAGGGCCCTGTCTCAAAAACTAAAACCCAAACCAAAACCAACAAACAAAAAAGGAATTGGGTAAACAATTGGCAGAATTACAACTGAGAGCAGAAAGCAGACACATTTGCCTCACAAAGCTGAGCTCCAGTAAGCTGAGCTCCAGTGAGAGGGCAGGCCAGGAGAGGAAGTGGTGGTCAAGGTCCTCCCCAGTCATCCCTCCTGAAGACGTGTTCATGGCTGCTGCCAACAGCCGAGACAGCATAAATAATAGGAACAGACTATGGCTGCAGCTTCTAAAGGCTTCACACAGTCTTCCTTAGAATGAGCTTTTAATCACTACCACCTTTACTGGTAAAACCACTTGTCTTAAGGTAGTGCCCTTGGTTTTATGTAATTTTCTGAACCATCGAATATAAATAAAACTAACTAGCCAGGCGTGGTGGCGCACACCTGTAATCCCAGCACTTAGGAGGCAGAGGCAGGTGGATCTCTGTGAGTTCAAGGCCAGCCTGGTTTACATAGTGAGTTCCAGGACAGCTGGGGCTACAGAGAGACCCTGTCTCAAAAAGACCAAAAAAAACCCAAAAAACTTTTAATTTAAAAATAATATTATATGATCTCATCCCTATCAAATGTTGTCCCCCATCTTATGTACCCCAACTTCTCTCCCCACCTAACATCCAGATGTCACTCATCGATCCACTTCTCTGTTTGGCTCTTCATAGAGACATCTGTAATGAAGTTCACCACAGTTAGAAAGGAATGGCTACTTACAGGCAATTATTTAATGTATTATTTTCTCGGCTAAGGTGAACTAACGGTACAGCCTATCCTTAGCATGTATGAGCCCCTACTTTCAAGCCTGGGTACCAAAGTTATTTTTCTTTTGCTCTTTCCCTTCTTCCCTCCCTCCCCCCCTTTCTTCTCCTCCCTGCTCTGTCTCCCCTCCCTCCTTTTTCTTTCATTCGTTTATAAAACAGGACCTCACTTTTAGCCCAGAACGGCCTATAACTCACTATGTATCAAAGGCTAGCTTCAAACTCACGGCAATCCTTCTGCCTCAACTGCCCAAATACTGAGATCACAGGGTGTGCCTCCATACCTGGCTTTTTTTCTTATTACTTAAAAACAATTTTAAAAAATCACTGTGTTAAAGAGAGAGATGCATGAGAGACTACTCCCTTAGCATGGCCATGCTGGGCTACCTGAATGACTCATCTGGATGCTCTCTGCCCTCACTATTCTAAAATCAAGGGCCCTTGATATCGAAGACCTCCTCACCTCAAACCTGGTGAAATTTATAAGCCTAGTCAATAATCAGTAGATGAGACACAGTCACCACTGGCCTCTTCAGGATGAGACAACTAGGTCAGGCTACCTTATGGGTTGCTTCCTTGTGCCCTGAGAGACCCCTCATTTACTTTCTGTGGTTGCTGAAGTGCTGTAAGTGAGTTTGGTTCTAATGCTTCTGCTTACCCAATGCCTGGTCTCTGCCAAGTGGGTAGCTATGTACCCAGGAGTAGAAACTGCCCAGCTGAGGCTTTTGTAATTTTGTACATGATGTCTGAGCAGTGGAATAGGGTCCACATCTGCAAGGTTCTGAGGTGTGGCTGAGTGTACCCCCAGTATAGTCTCAAACATGAATTCAAGGAGATATACATGAGGGTTCTACCCACAGACACAGAACCACACAATACATCACTTACAGTATACTACTTAGATCAGAAATATTCCATACATAGGCTTGCTTGCCTGACTTTACAACAAGTGAAAATGATCAAGTTTTTTAAAATGAAATCTTCTAGGAATGACAGCTGGATTCAGTTAATTTTTTAAGTTATATAAGATAATTATTTCCATTATAGCTATGATGATTAGCAAACAGTGCAAGAAAACCCATGCTGGAGTGTCTATGGAAGCCCTTCCGGCTGCTAGCAGGAAGACGGCTCCTGAGGAATGACTCTTGAGGTTGACCTCTGGCCTCCATGTGCACATGTGCTCACACAGAAACACACAAAATAATCATCCTGGTTTTCCTTGCAGCATTTTATCCAGAATGTTTGTCAGCTGGGAGCAGAGGAGTATAAACAAACAAACAAAAGCATGTTTGTAGTTTAAAAAAAAAAGTCCAAGGTCAATTTTAGACTTCTTGCTGTTCTACACAGAATACAAATGTGACCTTGGGAGGTGGCCTTCCCAGCCTCCTCTCAGCGTGAGGCACAGGACCCTTAACTGAGACTTGTGCACAAAGACGTATTTACCTCCACTGTCAACTGAGGCCTCTCCTCTGCTTTCCCACAGGCCATCATGTTGGAGGCCAGCTGCCTCTCTCCCAGACCGGTTCCACTTTGTGATTCAGTCTTCAGTCATTTAAAAACATATCCCTCCATGGACACACTGAAAGTGTAATACAGATCTGTGGAGAGGCCTTGACTTTCTGATGCCTTCTAATTTTAACATTAGACAGCAACAAAAGGTTGTTTTAGTTTATGGTAAGGTTTAATATTAAAAATACTAATAAAGATCCTTTTGATTAACCACCTCTCACTTTAAAATATTCTGCCTAATGAAAAAAAGTGACAAATATAAATATTTATAAAAGAACTATTTTGTGAAAACAACTAAAACCTCTACTTGGAAAAAACTCATTTCTTAGTCTCCTAATTCCTGGTCATCACATATTTTCTTCTCTTTTTTTTTTTTTAAAAAAGGTAAAAGGTCTATATTTTCTCCCATCCTAAAATGCTTATGTTCTGAATTGCAGACACACATCTTGCTTTAGAGACTGAAGCTGAAAACATGGATGACCACATACTGACCACTGACCACCACTCAGGGCTTTCCTCTGCTATACTGGGTCGAGAACGATCTCCTCAGCTCCCATCCCCCTACCCCCCACCTTAACAACCAGGAGACTATCTTGGGCACGGTGACATTTGAGATCAAAGGCTGCAGGAAAGCAGCGTGCTTACATCTCTGCAAGGCCTCCTCCAGGCTGTCCTGCATCAGCTCTCTGCACTTGGGAAGTGTGCGGTCATTTGTTTCATGGATCATATTCTTCAAGTTCTCAAGAACTCGCAATTCTCGAAGACCACGTTTTTCCTATTAAAAGAAAGTAAATGACTAGCATATATTGTACCTTAAGTCTTAGTAAGTACTGTCTGAGGTTCCACCCAGGGTTTGCTCGGTATTACTCTGAAACCTGCACAGCTTTCTTTTAATTGTTTGGCAGTAAAGAGGTAAAAACCCAGGGGCTGGAGAGATGGCTCAGCAGTTAAGAGCACTGACTGCTCTTGCAGAGGACCCGGGTTTGATCCCCAGCACCCACATGGCAGCTACAAACCATCCTTAACGCCAGGGAAATCTGAAGCCCTCTTCTGACCTCTACAGCATTGCACGACACGGGTGCACTCACATACATGCAGGCAATACACTCATACACATAAAATTTAAAATAAACAAAAAAACAAACACCTGGAGGTGTTCTATTATGAAGCTCCCCAAAAGGAGCAGCATGGGTGAAATTTTTACAGTAGTGCTCACAAATGACCAGTGAAGTATCAACACACCAAGAGGCTTAAATGGCCACTTATTTCCTTAAAAAGGCACCTTTGTGCTCACTTTAAATTGCCTTTCTTGTTCTTATTATCATATTGCTTCCACTATTATGTGCTATAGATTTTATGATTGCCCACCCAAAAATAACAATGGTGGTAAAAGTAACTATTTATAGATACTTTATCATGCAGAAAATGAGCAGTGAAGGCCTGCTGTCTTTAGAGAGGCCTGGGTAGGCCTGCAAGGATGGCTGTTGCTGAGGCTGGGAACCTGAGTATGTAGCCGTACATTGGGATGAATATAATCTGTAAGTTGGAAATGGGGCTCACTGAGCCTTAGATGTTTATACTAAGAATGTGGTTAATGCTGAACACTTCCTTTTTCCTGGGATCATGGGATCTTGGCCCATGCAAGGCAGAGCTGCCTGTGTGACCAGCCCGCATGGAAACACTGGACTCGTAGGCTCAGAAGAGCTTCTAGGTAGTTTAGGGTTTATGTGTGTGGTCACGGGTGTTGCTGGGGGAATCACGTTCTCCCAAAGGAACTGTCTCTTTGGGTGAGGATCCATGTAAACTTCTATCTGGCTTGCCTTGCTCTGCTGGGAATTCGTCTGCCATAGTAAAGCATGGCCTCCCTTCCAGCCCCATGCCAAGTCCTATGCATTCCAGTCGATCACTGAACCTGGGTGGTCGCAGGCCCCATCAAATAATATCCAGAAAACAGAGTTTAACCACGCTCCCCACAACCTGAGTGTGGGCTAGACTTAGTGACTTGCTTCCAAAGAACAGCACAGGAAGGGAGAAGTACTCCACTCCACAATGAACCTGCAAACTCTCCTCAGTCAAGCAAAGACAGCCCTGTGAGCAGTGAGATCGCGCTGACAGCAGGAACACGGTGTGCTATAAGACAGTACTTGACCTCTGAGTTTTCTTTTCCATAAGCCCATGAGAAAAACATCAGGCAAACCTAAGTTGGGAGGGATTCTACAGGATACCTGGCCAGTACTGAAGACTATCACTTTCAAGAAAGGCAAGACAGCCTGACCAACTGTCAGATTAAAGAAATGGGAGACACTGTAATTAAATGCAAGGTGGTTCCCTAGATTAGATCCCAGAACAGGACTATAGAATTTTAAATGATCTTCCTCTAATCTCTGTTTCTTCCCAGTTTTCAAAATGCCAATACAATTACTTATTTCCTTTCTCTTTAATTTAATAAAATAAAAATATCAATACTAGTATCAAACAAAATGATTGCTGAAAACTAAGATTTTTAACAGGTTTTTCTTTTGTTCTGAAAGTGGATTATACTAAAAATGTATAGTCAAATCAGTGTGTTTGTATTGGTTTATTTGAAACAAGGTCTCACCACATAGCCCAGGCCAGACAGGACGTCATAATTCTCCTGCCTCTGTTTCCTGAGTACTGGGACTAGAGAACTGTATCACCACACTCAGTCAAATCACTGGATTTTAATGTTACATATAATAATTTCTGAGTAACAACATCACCACTCAGAAACACAGATTTACTTTTTTACATTTGACTTGATTTTAGGAATTGCTCCTTGAAATTTAGTTTTGTTTTAAAATATATAAAATATTTACATGGTTCTAAAATTCTATCTATAAAACAGAATGTATCCAAAAAAAAAAAAATCCTAATAAAAAAAAGCCTAATAACCACAACAATGACCTGCACAGCAAACTAGCTCAGCAGGAGTAGCACTTTTATCTTGGAGGTAATCAACAGCGATCTAATTGGTCTTAAAGCCTGCTCAATGGGAGGGAACTCATGGGTAGTACTTTAAACATACTCAAATACACATGGCTGGAGAGGTCACAGATCCTAGAGAAAACCCTACATTTGTCACGTTCCTAGATAAATGTAATTTCTTACTGTGTGCACAGATCCTTATATTTAGACAAGTATACCTGTCATCACTCAAAGAATGAAAGAAGCTTCTTTTTGCAACAGGATGGAGATGATTACAGAGCTCCACAACTGATCAAACACAGAGAATAAGGGTCTGTGAGGTGCCCAGCCCTAGGTGACACATCTACAATGCAACCTCTACATCTAAGGCTCATGGAACAGAGTAGAACAGGGAGTAGAGAGAATAGCGATGCATCTCTCAACTCTCACCAGCCAAGCTTCCTCATATAACAGAGGGCAATTAACACAGTAGGTCATAACTGGCTAAAGTATAGAGAATAAGAGACTGAAGAATGGGTGTCCCTAGATAGGATTACTGTATTATTCACCCACTTAGGGTTCAGGGACCATTTCAGAAGAGGGAGCAGAAAGATTCTAAGAGCCAAGGGTGGTAGATGAACATAAGAAAACAGATTTCCAGGCTTCTGGAACCAGTTCAACATGATTTAAAGATTAAGTGTTATGAATTTCTAATCTGTGTTGTCTTTAAGGAATTCTCTTCTTTAACATTTGAATTTATTTATTTATTTATTTATTATTTATTTAATCTTTTGAGGCAGAGTTTCACTATGTATGCCAGGCTGGCCTTGAACTCAGTAATTGTCCCGTCTTTCTTCAAGTTCTGAGATTACACAGCACACCACCATGCTAGGCTATCCCGCAGGTGAACTCATCAACACAATTCCTTCAACAGTTGTATTGGTATTCTGTAACATTTTGAGAACCTCAAATTTTCTTGGATGTTTACTTTTCCTTCTCCACTCAAGAATTACCCCTTCTGTGGCGATTTCCTGCCAAACTATGCTGGGAACTGTCCCTAGAGTTCCCCCTTCCAGGTTCTCGTGTACTCCATGCTGACTGTATCAGAGTTACATCAGGACAGTTCTTGATTTGCCGGTACTTCTTGTAGGCTCTCTAAGTTTGTCAAGGAAAGCTTTCTGGAGGTCAGGGTTGCTTCCTGTTTCCCACATCTGGCGAGGTGCTGCGGCATCCTCTTCTGCACTGTCAGTGCCCACCTGGATCTGGAGTAGCAGTACGCTGCTCCCAGAGGCTGCTTGTTGTTCCTGCCTGCTCTCCTTGCCACACAAAGTGCAGACATGATGGCTGAAGTTCCAAAAGCCACTTCTAATGTGAGGGCTACGCGCCAGAAGAGACAGAGACAAAGCTGCAGGAGGCTGACATCATAGAGTCACCATGCCAGCCCTGGGCTTTCTAAATTTGTCTCTGGGACTATGCGAGAAAAATAAGCCCTTGGTAAACCTCTGTTTTCCATATATCTGCTACTAGTAACTAAACACATTCTTACTGATATGCCTAGGTATTTGGTAACTATTCAATAAAGCACCAAATGAAGGAATTTGATAGGTACTTGTGATGGTTTCAATGATAATATCCCCTACAGGCTCCAAATATTTGGACATTCTGTCGCCAGATGGTGGTGCTGTTTTGGGAGGTTTTAGAAGGTATGGCTATCCTGGAGGAAGCACGTCACTGGGGGTGGGCTTAGAGAGTTTTTGAGCCTTGCCAGATTGCCAGTCGCTCTCGTTTCCAGTGCCTGCTGGAAGATGTAGAGCTTAGCTTCCGCTCCTCTTCTCCAGCTACCTCTGCCACCATGCCTCCCCGCCAAGACAGACTGTAATTCCCCTGGAACTGTAAGCTCAAATAAATCCTTCCTTTTATAAACTGCTTGGGTCAGTGTTTCTATCAGAGCAACAGAAAAGTGACTAATACAGTACTACATAAGGAACAGATGTAGGGTTACCCATTCTGTAGGCCCCTTGTGAGAAAGTCTGACTAACACATCTCTCTCCCCTTTGTGAGAAAGGCCAGGATGTCTCAACTACAACTAGAAAGGCAATGGCTCAGAGGGCAGGCCTCTCACTGGGACTGTGCCACACTTACTCCAAGTGCTGGGGCGGTAACATGCCCTTAACAGAGGCTGCTCACCTTCCAAATCTCTGCACATAAGGGTCACTTGAATTCAGAGGAGGAGCTGTAATGTGAGGAGAAAAGACCACCAGCTGTCCTTAAGAACCAAAGAGAGGAGAGCTTCCAGCGATCTGCCAATACTTCAGTAATTTAAGAAACGCTGCCACCATGTGGCACTTGCTCCCTCTTTTACAAATAAAACTTTACATAGAACAAGTCACCTGATGCCATGTACATCAAGTCTTCTACGTATATAAAACAACTTGAGTTTGAAACTGCTAGTCTTTTCTTCCTAAAGTGAACTCCACCTGAATGGCAGAGAGAAGATGCAAAGGCTGATTCTGCCTTGCTTTTCCCTACAAATGAGAAGACCACTGCTGCAAGTACCTTATTACTGCCTGGGCAGATCAAGGCAGGCAGGGCAGGACAGGACAGAAGAGTAACACAAATGATACTCAACTCTCAAGTCTCTGAAATGCTTTCAGTTTTTTTCTTCTGAGGGGCAGCATATAGAAAAGCACAGGCAAGTTGATGAGCTACACTCAGCCCTTTGGAAGACCAATGGTCACTGTGAAGGCCCGACCCAGTGCTTTTCAAGAAAAGCAGATCAAATGTGTCTCATGCACTTCTGAGCCCTTTAAAGACATTCTCAAATGAGCAGTTCCTCAAGATACTGTAAGA